GATGTTTGCTTTCCCTCGGTGCTTTCACTGCATCTTGAGTGCTGCGCTGTGTCCTTAGATGCAAGAAGTCCTACAGTGGGCACAGAGCAGATGTGGTTGGGGCAGTGGCAGTCCTTGCAGATCTACTGGCACTCGAGGGCATGCGTGTTGCAGCTGTAAATTCAATGATCCTTTAAACCCACCTTCATCTGGGTAGAAAACTACTTCCCAGAGGTATAATTTTTCCTGTGAGTTCTACAGGAACACCCAAACTGAAAGCAGAGGTCCCTTGCCTGGGGGGCGCAGCAAGATTAACTCAACTGCCCAGTCTCCCCAGTAAAAACAGGAAAAGAATTAGAGGGGTTTATATTTTTGACCCCAGATCCGTCACTTGCCACAGCAGACAGGAAAGTTGCCCTCGTGGTATTTCACACAGCACGTCCTAATTCCCTCTCTAAGCAGAGGGCTTGAGTCATTGCTTTTTAATCAGGCTGCCTCCCCACCGGCGGAAGCTGCCGCGATCAATGCAGCTTACTCAGTTCTCGAAAAGGTCATTAAAAGGCCATAGATATAAATTTAAAAGAGTGTTTGTTCACATCCTTAATGTTAAAGATGTTCTTCTCTCTCACTTCCTTAAGTAGCATCGTATGAGGCCGGCGTGCATCGGACCTGTCCAACAGCAGAGCGTGTTATCGCTGTTCGTGTGCCGTCAGCTCCGAGGGAAGGCAGGAGAAAAAATAAATGGTCAAAAATCACACTTTTATCACCACTTGGAGCAGAGCTTGTCTTGCTGACATCTCTAGATACAGTCTGTAATGTCGACCTTGGTGCCCTAAAACTATATAGGAGAGAATAAATTCTTTTTAGTTTTTTTTTTTTTTCCCCTTCATTCCTGCATTCCTTCCTCCCTCCCTCGCTATGGTACTGGGTGACTGCCTGAAGTATTGCCCGTATCATCCCTTTAGCAGCTATATTTTTCCAAAATGTGGGTACTGTGAAGGAATGCTAAAACTCTCAGTTACTGCCGATATGATATATTTAACAGTTCAGGAGCATATAAGTATCTCAGGTTCCAGTTGTTGAGACGTGAAATGCCACATCCAGCTCAGTCAGGTTTTTGCCACTAGTTGCATCAGGCCAGGGTGAGCTGAAAGCACGATGGCTTGAGTTTTGAGTTTCTAAGGTGGCTTTCTGATGCTCCAGTCCAGGCACATCTCCAGCTATGACTGCATGGTGCTGGAGGGCACCTCTGGAGCACTTGTGCTCCCATTTCTGATCTCCTCTGGGCATGGCTGGTTTGTTCATACTGCTCTGAGTGAGACAGCCTGGGGCTTCTCTGCTGTCAGCAGCATTGGGAAGGTTGTGAAGCTCCAGGTTGCTCTTGAGTGGGCTGTCAAAAGGGGAGCTGGGATGAGGATGGGGAGGACTGGCCCCACGGCTGCAGTGTGGATCTGGAGAGATGACTCCCAGTCCTACCGTTGCTTTGCAGGGACTATATGCCTCTAAGCATTTGTCTTCCCTTTCTCTTTAATTTAACCTAAGACAAGGATATTAGGTTCATCGCTCATAGGGTATTGTGAGCATAAATAACTTAATAGCTATTTTGTATCCGAGCTGTGTAGAAGTCAGGGACGCCAGGCTGTGCAAATACCTAAACATACGTGTCAGAAGTCAAGTATTTTGCTCACCTTCTATTTTAGAGACGAAATTGCCTTTTTTTTTCCTGATACTAAACTATAAGGCTTACGTGCCTGTTAGGACATATCACCCTCCAAGAGCTTTCTGGTTTTGAGCAGCAGGCTGCAGCTGGAAATCTCCCCTTGCCAGCGTGTAGCAGGTGACAGGATTAGACCAAAGCCCACTGCCACAAAGCCAGCAGTCGCTCTTCTCTGATGTCCGCAGGTTCCTCTGCCCATACGACGTTTTTTGTTCACAGTCAATGCAATTAAATGTCGTAGAATCATGGAATCGTTTAGGTTGAAAAAGACCTTTAAGATCATCGCATCCAACCCTTAACCCAGCACTGCCAAGTCCACTGCTAAGCCATGTCCCTAAGCACCACATCTACACATCTTTGAAATATCTCCAGGGATGGTGACCCAACCACTTCCCTGGGCAGCCTGTTCCAATGCTTGACAACCCTTTTGGTGAAGAAATTTTTCCCAATATCCAATCTAAACCTCCCTTGGTGCATCTTGGAGCCATTTCCTCTTGTCCTGTTGCTTGTTACATGGGAGAAGAGACTGACACCCACCTTGCTACAACCTCCTTGCAGGTAGTTGTAGAGAGCGATAAGATCTCCCTCCTCTCAGCCTCCTTTTCTCCAGGCTAAACAACTCCAGTTCTCTCAGCTGTTCTTCATAAGACCAGTGCTCCAAAACCTTCACCAGCTTTGTTACTCGTCTTTCGACGCCCTCCAGCACCTCCATGTCTTTCTTGTAGTGAAGGGCCCAAAACTGAACACAATGTTCAAGGTAGCCAGAATTCTCCCCACCTAATAACTTTCATTTCCAGTTTTCTGCCTTATTCACCCATGTACACGTTCATCTCCAGTCACTTAATAATTTATAAACACCGTATTCTGTCCCGTGCTTAATAGAGTGCTGTCTCTTCTTCCATTATGTTCTGCCAACTTCCTGTGCTGTACTTCAACAAATGTGAACTTTTCCTGTTTTCCGTTTGCTTACGTATACGCACAAGTGTACACAAACACTCCCACATACTAAAACAAACTCGTAGAGACACTTTTTGTCGTTAGCCAAATGCCTACCTATCACCTATGGGTATTGGTGGAAACCACAGAAAAAAATCAGAATCGGGAAACTACTATCTTGTGCTCAGTGTATCAGAAAGCAGCATGGATTTATTTCTTTTGCAGCTGTTACAGCTGCCCAAACTGTTCGTTTGTTAACAGTCTTTTCTAAGAATTGAACCTTTTTTTGTGGTTGGGAGATCCCCAGTGACAAAATCCACATTTCCGCAAGTATACTTGTTAGTCTTAAATATTTTACGAATGGTTTTGAGAAAGAACTTGAGAAATAACTGCTCTTTAATAATCAAAACTTGCCACTGCTTTGATTTCATCAGTACATATCAGAAACTTCCTATCTTAATAAGCAAATTTATCTGAGACTGAAATCTAGAAGAATCCCTCAGTATTATATGTCAGTGTGTGTTTGGCCGCTCCAGTTACTTCCTATATATATGGGGTTTTTTTCCCCAAAACTGTGGTTTTAAACAGATCCCAAGGGCAGAAGTTTGAAATTTTACACTTTGATTGAATAACCACTCTTACCACTATCTGGGTAGGCGTCTTCCTAATCTGTAGGTGAATTAAGGTACTGTTTGTGCTACACGAACTCTCAAATTTAACTAATGGGAGCTACAGACTATTGCCGACAGGAATCGGGTGAAGCAGCAATGAGAAAACCAGTTGTGTTGTGTTTTCGTTCCACTGGGTTTCACTCCCCGTTTCAAGTGTGGTAACAAAGAATCAAATCCCAGCGCGATTCATTCAATGACAGTGATTTTGCAGGCGCAGCATCCAGGAGAAACAGCTTTGTTGTAAAATATAATGTGTGATATTGGAGTTTAAGTCATGCTTGTTGATTTAATGAAGGTTGTAAGGAGATACTTATTTCACGAACCTGAAGATTTCAGTAACGACAGTCCATTGATATCTACTTTAATGGCTTTGTTGCTCTGTGTAGTAGATAGATCACTTCGTAGTACGCGCTTCATTAACACTTGCTTTTTGACCAAGTTCCTGTGACAGAAGGACATGTCTATTACTGTCAGTAATTAGGGCAATATGAGTGTAGTGAGCATAGGACTGACTGTCATGGGCTGGAAAGAGCTGGGTTGCGTTACGGACTCTGCAATTAGGCTGATTGATGACTTTGAGCAAATAATTTTGCCTTCACTACTCTGTGGCTTTACAGATTGGCACAATGAGGATAATGGTAGTGAGTTACTTTGTGGAATGTTTTGAGTTCTGATAACGTAAAAGAGGTAAACATTCATATTAGGTTCATATTATTTCTGGATTGCATATAAAAAATTATTGCTTGTTTACAGATGCAGAGAATTTAGGTAATTATGGCTTTGCATAAATATGTAAGTTTGCTAATTATTTCTGTGAATATTCCGATGCTAATACCGCGATCCAGTGCTGTGGATCCTGTTTTTTGCTCTCTCCTGGAAAGGAAGAAACCTTCTTTCTAACTCCACTGTTTTAATACCCATATGCAAGGTGGATAACTTATTTATCTGTTACTGAAACATCCTCAGTCCAATTCTGTCTTAAATCAATAGACAAACTCCCACTGGCTCCAGCTGCAGTTGGATTGAACTCAGAGCTGTTCAGGAAGTAATCGTGCTTAGAGGGTATTTTAAGTTCCTTAAATGAGTTATGCCACCAACTTGTAGGTAACTCTGTCCCTGATGTGGGGAGATGGGAGCAGAAGTGTCCAAGGCTAAACACAGTGAAGTACAGAGCTGGTTCCTCAAATCTTGCGGTGCTTATCGACTGTCGATAATGCTGTTACCGTTTCCTACCGCACATGGTGAAGGTGTAGCGGAGGGTGTCCCTGCCCATGGCAGGGGGGGTGGGACTAGATGATCTTTGAGGTCCCTGCCAACCCAAACCATTCTGTGATTGATAGACTGCCACGGTGTTGGTGCCGTGCCATCTCTACAGTGGGTATAGACGTAAGCAACAACACACCGAAGTGCATGTTTTTCATCAGCAAATAATTTAGTTGTCAAATAGTCAAGAGCTGCACCAATGTCAGAGCTGTGCGTAAATCAAGCATGGACATAGGCAGTGCTGACTGTGCTCACGAGAAAAAGACACCCAACCAAAAATTAATCCCATCAAAACAAGGTAGGAATATTCTGAGGACCTGATTGAACTAAAACTTGCTTTTTTGGTGGCTGATGCCCATTTCAGTACCTCTTTCTCTGCCCTTTGCTACTACCTTTGTTGTACTGATCACTAAATATTTCCTTCTGTCTTGCAGGGAACTGAGCGATAGGACCACATACATGTACCAGGTCGTCATTGTTTCCGGGACGGAGGAGAGCGAGCCTTCCCCCGCGCTTGTGTATATCTCTGGAAGTGGATACTGTGGAGACGGGATTATCCAAATGTAAGTCTGGAGTGAGCAAACAGATAAATCTGGGCACATCTACTCAGCCAGAATCTGAGACTAGAAAGGAATTGATGACCTCTGATGTCTCCTTAGTTTAGGCCAGCTCTCAACTGTAGATAATGACTCATGTGCTTGATGATTACCAGGATGATGACATTTAATTGGAACTTAGGCCCTGCTATCCTGGCACCAGCAGATACAGACAGAGATATAGATAATGAAGTCCAGACAGTAGGATCGATACGAAAGTACGCTGTATGCTGTTTATGCTGTTTGTTCGTGTATCTGTATCTTTATACATGTATATGGCATTTCCCTATATGGAGCTGAAGTAAGTGCTGGAAAAATTCACACAGCCTTTGATGCTGTCTTTACACATGAAATCCCGTGTGGAAGGGTGGGCCAGGTTCCTGGTACAACCTCTTGTTTGACTGACCACCAAAGCTGGGATGCATTTGGAGGTGCTAGTTTTGGCCTCTGAGCGAGAGTGCTGGGAATTGCATGTTCTCAGTCAGCCCCTCCCTCCCACTGGTTGCCAATCCCCAGACCGCTGAAAATGTAAAACTATCATTTACAACTGCATTAGGGTTTATTCTTCTACTATGTTGACCCTTAAGGCCACCTGCTTCAAAGCTTTCTGGCATTAGATAATTTGTTTAAACAATGGAAGAAACAACGAGCAAGTGCTTAATCCAGCCAGTGTTATTTTCTTGAAATAATGCTGATCAACAATCACATAGTACAGCTCTGTCAGATGATCTACCTGGCAGCAAGTATTTGCAGGATGAGGCCCAACAGGCAGGGAAATCAAAGAGAATCAAACAACATATGAATCCGGGGCAGTCTTGGAGAGAGACGTGGAGAAAGACAGATTAATTTTGCTTTCCATAACTTTTCTCCTACTGTTATGTTTGCACATTCCTCAAACATCACTTGTGGCTTTGCAGCAAGCATCGAACAATAGCTGAGCTGCCTCAGGAGCGAGCAGGAACCAGACTGTGTCACAGCTTGGTTGGTTGTGGCCCCACTTGCAGCTGTGGCAGCCCCTTTCTCATCTGGCTCACATTCTTCTCCCCACGCTCTGCTGCAGCCGTTCGGGCTGGCGCAAGGCAGGATCCCGTCCCCGACACCACCTGCTCCCTGTTGACTGCTCTCTGCCAAGTGCTGTCACCTGGAATAGCCCAGCACCAGGCTTCATGCCTTGTTATTCCCATGCTGAGGTCACAGTCTGGCCTTTACAGATTTAATACAAAGAGTTTCAGAGATTCCTGTTCTCTTTTTCCCCACCTGCTGAGTTGCAGCCGCACCAGCTATGAAGGAAGTTGCTCATATCCTCACCAGAGAACAGCAAGTGGTATCCACATGTGCAGGAGAGAAGTGGCCAGGCAAGCTTGTGAACCAGGAACGATGAAAGTCAGGGCTGGAGGAGAGAAGGAGAGGTGTTTTAAAGGTTGATGCACAAAGCCGCTGTACCGGGTTTCAGAGCTTTGGGGTTCTGCAGAGGGGTTGCAGCAATTGTTGGGATGATGCTGTTTCCCATCTGATTCCTTTTTGCATCCGTGTGCCCTGCCTACAGAGACCTGGGGGAAGAATGCGATGATATGAATAAGATCAACGGTGATGGCTGCTCCCTGTTCTGTCTGCAGGAGTTATCCTTTAATTGCATCGGTAAGTCTGCCTCAGAGCCCTTCCGCTCGCGGTGGGCAACAACTCTACGCAGAGTGCAAGGAGAATATCAAGAGTATTTTCAGCATTTCCAGCTGAAGAGTTGTCATGGAAGAGAGAAAAAAAGGTGGAATTTGTAGGTTTGAAAAGCGAACATATCTTCCCAGCTTCTGGTCATTTTGATGGGAAATTGGTTCTGCTGGCTTTGAAACAGCCCCGGACTTAAGGCTAAGTCAGCCATTGTGGGACTGCTCCAAAGCCCATTGAAGTCAGTGGGTGGTTTTCCACTGGCTTCAATAGGCTTTAGATCTGGCTACGTGAGAAGACATGAACTGATTTTTTCTGGTAAACAGGAGGAGGAGTGAAAGGGGAAGGGACTGAGACCAGAAGCAAGTCCAGCTGAGGTCACACCTCCTTTGAGTTGCAAATCAATATCTGAGGATCAAAGGTCCAGCTAATCCCCTTTTTCAGAGGTGAAAACTACTTAATCAGATTTCATTTGCAAGCCTGGTTTGCTCTGATTAGCAAAACCTGTAAGCACAATGGCCGGAAGATGCTCGAGTTATCGGGATAGCAGGGCTGCAGTTGTGAGCTTTACATATTTATTAAACTCTCTAGGAATGCTGGGGGCAGAGAAGGGAAATGGAGCCCAATTTACACTGCACCTTCTGTAGGGTACCCTGCCTTATGGGATTACATTTCCCAAACAGGGTTCAGTGAGGTCTGGGGAAGGATGGAACATGCAGAGCTTCTGAAACCAAAGTTAACGTTTACAAAGGGTCGGCTTTTTCTCAAGAGATTTTATGAGATTCCTTATCTGGACTGACCAAGCAAATACTCTGTCTAAGGTAGGGATCCCATGCCTTCAGCTCAGGGCATCAGTCCTAAGCAGATAATATAATGTTGGCAAGACTGAAATTTGCTCTTTTTGGCAAACGGACAATTGTCTCTTGTGCCTGGAGCAACATCTAAAGGACCTCACAGGCACCACGTTTCCCTTGGGTGGTAAGCCAGGGACTGCTTGTCTTGTCATAACAGCTACGTTTTTACTTCAGCATCCCACGCTGTGAGACTCAAGGCCCAATTTGGTGAAGCACTTATTTACATATATAAATAATTCTATTGAAATCTGAGCGTATTTATGGTCAAGGCTAATTGTGACTATTGGTGGTCTTGAAGTTACGTTTGTGTTTCAAGTAACTTGCTGCAGCAGAGCCTCAAGCACTGAAAGATATTAGTCATAATATTTTGAAAGTGAGATAAACACTGATGCAAACGTTTTGGGTTCTCCAAAAGTCAAGCATACTGCAAGGCTGGTTCCAGCAAGGGTTCTGGTTGGAGCTACATGGTTGCATCTGTATCACCCTGCTCATCAGCAGGGCTGAGTTCATTGGCCCAGGTCTGAATTTTGGCCACATCCCAGCATTACGTTAGGACATGACCCGGGTCCTCCCCTATGTATGTTGGTTCTTAAGGAAACTGGATTGTGTGGGCAGGGCAGGAGCTTCATCATGCTCCAAATAAGTCAATGGACAGGAGTTCGTTTGTCACGGGCTTTGGAAAGTTGTGGTTTCGCACAGGTCCTGGATTACAAAAGCGAATGAAATCAAATTGTTTGTGAAACGCTGAGCACAGGGACTCACTTAGGTGAATCAAATGAGCTGAATCAGTCGAAAGGTGCACAGCCACAGATCTTACAAATGTTTTGTTGCATGACTTTACAGTCGTGGTGGTGGGACTGCTGTGGTGGTGATGGCCTCAGCGTGCATGCAGGGTCTGCGAGGGTAGACCAGCTGCTGTTGTTTTGGGTTGAATGCTGCCTTCCTCAGGTTCCTAGGAAGGGCTCAGAGAAGGTAATACCTGTGGAACAGGTCTTAATGGTATTTATGGGTGCTGGACCACCATGAATTAGCACATCAAGAGCTAGAGAGAAACTGCTGGCTAATCTTTTGGAGAAATTAAGAGTACTGATTTGTATTCTGTTTTAACATATTGAACATTAAAATCTCACCAGAAAAAATAAAGATGTTGGGGACGAGTGGCTGTACGTATTACTTAATACATAATAATTGAAAAGAGCAGAAATTCAGCATTCTCCACAATCAAATAGCGCCAGACTGGATCCTGTGCCTTTAGCCAAACAAAAGTCATCTTTGAGACTGGTGGGGTGTTTTCTTGGAAAACACAGAATGCTTGGGTCCCTGTTTGAGGAGCACAAAAAATACATGTAATTTATTTCCATGTTTACAAGGCTAACGTATGTAATTATCCTGTAGGACAACAAGTAATTATTTCAGACAGTGTTATTTTTGCAGTGATGTTCTTGTTGTATTATGTAGCTCTTTAGTGCCCCGGGAATCACTCCCCTTCACCAAAGAATTCAGTAAGCCTCAAACACACGTTCAGAGGCTTTGCTGAATTGGGGGCCTCAGGGTTTGATCTTGCAAATGCTTCCTTCCAGGCATGTTTCTGCACTACCACAAGGCATTCTTTAGACTTCAGCAAATCTAACCACAACAGTGAATGCAATGCTTGTCACAAATTGTCTGCAGGATTGGGTCCCACATGGCTGAAAATAATCACTGAACGTTTTGTTTGCAAAGGCAGGGCTGAAGGGGCGTCATCGAGGGGGGTGTTCTGTAGCAGGAGGTTTGATAGCAAAGCCCAAGCGGGTTTCTTTCTTCCAAAGCAGAGACCACGCATGTCATCTCACTTGGTAGAAGAGAAATGCAACAGAGCCTGCAAACACCATCAAGCTTTAGATTTAGAGCAATAAATCATAGAATAATATAGGTTCGAAGGAGTCTCTGCAGGTCTCTGGTCCAAGAAGGGCCAACTTCAAAGTTAGATCCAGCTTCAAAGTTGGAGCATGTTGCTCAGGGTCATGTCCAGCTGTGTTCTGGATATCTCCAAGGATGGAGGCAGCCTGTTTGCAGGTGTCCCTCTGCCTCTCTCTCTCCCTTTGTCTTTTAGGATCATGAGGTTTATGGACTTTTTTAATTGGTCCAACTTTCCTTCGAATAAATGGCACAAAGCTCTCAAGACACTTTTGCTAGTGCCTGTAATAAAATTAGATTCTTTTTTTTCCCCCCCTCGGTTTTGTTTTCCCTCCTCCTTTCCTCTCTAATCAGATAACAGTGGATCAATCTGCTCTGCCACGAGAGGAGGGGCGCGGGGGAAGGAAGGAGGGAGGCAGGGAAGAAAACTGTGTGGTCTTACTGTCAGGCTGTCCTGGCCTTCGCTGAACACAAAGCCGAGTAACAGAAAACAGATAAGATTAATAGCGTTTTCTTCCTGCAACATGCTGAAGAGCGACAGTGAGATTAATTAATTAATTAATGAGAGCATCTGGCAGTGCTCCTTCTTTAAGTTCGGCGGTACACTCACCCTTCCCCATCCTGAAATTCATCATCTTTACTTTTTTTTCCCCCTTCGCGTAGTGGGTTTGGCATATTTTGTCTCCTCCGTGCAGAATTTGGTCCCACAGGGAAAAGTTTCACTTTGCCTTTTGATTTGTAGGAGACAAGTCATGTCCGCTGTGACTGATGCATCCCTCTCCCACCTCTTGGCTGCTTCTCCTTCACCTTGCTCTTGATTACTCCTGGGATAACTGATTTTTTTCCATTACTGCAGGTCTCAGCCAAGTTCAAGCCGACATGTCCTGTGTAAAACAGGCCCCGGTCATACGAGTTATGATTTGCAGTTGGGGAAACCTGATGGATTTTAGCACTTGAGCCGTTCCCACCAGACCCTTGAGAAATGGGTGTCTAACAAGCAGCTGAGCACCTTGCCCTTGGTGTGCGTTCTCCCACACACCAGCATGGTACACAGGCACCGAGATGTATGTGCGGGCATTGAAAACGAGCGCCGCTTTCATTTGCATTCCTTTTGTTGAGTGGGATGTGCATTGTGCATTGATTTCGCTCGCCGGTGCCGAAGAAAGAGAAGGATATAATAAAAAAGATGCAGAGATCAATAAAAAAGAAAGGAGGGGAAGAGAAAGTGATATGAAAAGAGATGAGTAAAGGCTGATAGACACATTGAAACACAGCTGGGAAGCGGCTTCAGAACTTCTGTCTGCCCTGAAGTTTGCCTGGTAATTTATGGGGTTTTCAGTCGCATCTTATTGGTGTTATTATTGCTGCACTTTATCTCCTTTGCTTATAAGGGACTCCTCGCTAAAGCCTTTTTACAGCAAAACAGACCAGCGCTTCCGCTGGCTTGCACATGCGAGTGGTCTCACTGAGGAACGTGAATGTTTCAGGTTAGGCACATGTCTCGGTGGTTTGTTGAATCAGGGCCTCAGGGATGTAAAACACAGAGAAAAAGCACAGCGTAGAGGAGAGGAGAAAATAAATATATCTGGCTCTTGAATTTACCACCAATTTCTGGCATGCTTGAAGCATTAGTCGCCAGTGGTTGTTCAGGGAGAAGTACAATTTTAATTTGACAATTATCCTTAAACACCTTTTCTTTTGCTCCTGTTTGGCCTCAAATGTTCTTTTGCCACTGTACAAATCTGGATCTGTCCTTCACCTCCTCAGAGGCCTCTCACTCCAGCTGTGAGCCTTACCTTTGTGGGAGCTCTATCCTTTACCTCTCCCATTATCCATAAATTAAGCATAGCACTTTCCCCTAATCTTATTGTTTGGCGGGCTGCATTGCATTCAGGGAAATGATTAATATTCATGAGCTTGCTATCTCTGTTTGGTGCATAATCCTCTAGGGAAATGGCAGTGTTAAATGAGTGACACAAACCTAATTTTATATGTCTTTTCTTTCCTTTCTTTCTTTTTCCTTTTTTTCTCTTTCTGACAGAGAAGTAATGTGCTTAAAATAAATTGATGGATGACCATCCATATTCATTGTGGGCATGCTTTGAGAGCACGCCTCGCTCCCATCCTCTCCCCCTCCTTTCCTCGTACCCCTGCACTGGAACACAGCTTTGACTGCCGAAACCATGGCCCCACAGGGCAGCTAATGGTGATTTCGCCTTCTTTCAC